ACAAACCCCTCCCCCTTCTAGCACTGACGATATTCCGTAGATGGGTCATGAAAGGTCTTCAAGAAAACCAACCAAGATCAGGGAGCACTGAAGACCCCAAGGACCCCGCAGTGTCCTTCCTCCTCCTCTCCATAAAACCCCATTCCCTTCTAGCACTGATGATGTCCCTAGTTTGGTCATGAAATGTCTCCAAGGAAACCAGTAAGCTCAGAGGGCGCCATCACCCCTGTTTTCTGTATTATACAATCCCCACCACCCCAGGGAATGCTGCAAAGGTGGAGACCCCCAAATCCTCCCTCCAAAAGACCCATTTTGACTCTGCAGACAACACTGTGCGCCTTCTGTGTCTTGTTTAACACCTTGCCGCGGTTCTGCCATAAAATATAAGATGGGAACAGCTGCAGGAAACTGAGGAGGCTCTGTTCTCCTGAAGGAAGGCTTCCAAATTCTCAACTAAGTGTAACTTGCAAAGGCAAGGAAGACCAGCCGATGTTATAATCAATCTATCAACCAATGACGGTATATACACTGGAGAGCGGGAAGAGCCGCCAAGAAGATTCATGTTAAGCTTCTTGTTTAACAGGTTTGTATAAACCAGTAAACACAGAGATTTGGAAATTCTCAGATGGCTTGTGCTACTGGGAGTGAGGGAGAGGGGACTATTTCAATCCACCCGGAGCCAATGGCTGCGTTGAAAGGGGGGAAAAAATGTCTTTTGACACGGCTGCATCAACTTAAAACAAGACGTCTTTCCCAAGGAAGACGGGGTGTGCAAATTTGGCCACCTTGAGATCTGTGGACCTGGGAGTTGAAGTCCACAGCTCTTAAAGTGGCCAAGGTTGGATGACCCTGCGTTAGCTACTAAGACCAAGAATTTCCAAGCTTTAATACTTCTTTAAGACTTGTGGGCTTCAACTCCTAGAATTCCTCCAGGCAGCCATGCTGGGTGGGGAATTCTGGGAGTTGAAGTCCCAACAAGTCTGAAAATGGGCCCCTGGTCTAGACAAGGAGAGGCATGCAAAGAAAAGATTGCTGTTAATTCTCTTCGGTGACAACACAAGGTCTGCTTCAGGAACCAAAGAAGATTCCCTGAGACCCAAAAGTACCGGGTTGGTAGTCTTTGAGTTTGGTGGTTTTCTTGCAGATGTTTGATGACCCAATTAGGTAACATCATCAGTGCTACAGTAAAAGGGAGAAGGAGGAGGGCTGTGGGGTCCTTGGTGCTCTTTGATCTTGGTTGGTTTTCTCTACTGATCTAGGTGTTTTGCTGGTGGGGAAGTGTTTTAGCCATGGTGGCCCAGTGGTTAGAATGCAGTATTGCAGGCTAATTCTGCAATCTGCCAGCAGTTCGATTATGTCAGAAAATTCCTCTTTATTTCCAGGTTAAATCTCTTCTTGTTCAGTTTCCATCCATTATTCCTTGTCTGGCCTTTGGCTGCTTTGGAAAATAGCTTGAATCTTTCCTCATCTCTGTGGCAGCCTCTCAAATATTGGAAGACCGCTATCGTGTCTCCCCTGGTCTTTCTCTTCACTAGACTAGCCAAGCCCAGGTTCCTGCAACCGATCATCATATGCCTTAGTCTCCAGTCCCCTAATTATCCAGGTTGCTCTTCTCTGCACTTTTTCTAGAGCCTCAACATCTTTTCATATAGCGTGAGGACCAAAACTGGATGCAGGACTCTGGATGTGGTCTTACCAAGGCTGACAATAAGGTTGTTCTAAGTTTTAAGTTCTGAGCAACGCCAGTCCTAAGGCTGATTGAAAATCTAGCCAAGCAGAGCAACTGCATCTATTGTGCAAGAACCCTGAGCTATAAACTCTCGAGTTGTCAAACAAATGAAAACAAAAAACAACACACACACACCCCTCAAATCCACTTGGAATGTATTATTCAACAGCATAATACATTATTTAAAAGAGAGGGCTTGTATAAACGTTCAAACCCACAATCTCTTAAGAGATCGCTAAAAAACAACAACAAACCACCAGTAACAAGCTTAGCGCGCTTATTTCACTCTTTAAAAGAGCAGAACCAAGATTAAGATTTCAAACTGAGCCTCACAATAAGTAAGAATATTTCTCAAACTAGGAAACCTCCTGTACAGTCGGGGGCGGGAGGAGGGAACCTTGAGGATGTTTGTAAAAGAAATAAATAAATGCTAACAGAAACGCAGAATGAAACTGTATCCTAGTTTTTACTCGGTACTACTGATTTCCATTCCGCCGATTAATTGTTCTCACCGTCAGGAAATCCCTCCTTAGTTCTAAGTTTGATCTCTGCAAGTTTCCACCCATTAAATCAGAATAGAGTTGGGAGGGACCTTAGAGGCCTTCTAGTCCAGCCCTCTGCTCAAGCAGGTGATCCTATATCATTTCAGACAGGTGGTTGTGCAGTCTGAAAAACCTCCTTGGGTTGCAGGTTGCTTCTCTCCTTGACTAGTTTCCATCCATTGCTTCTTGCCCTTGCTTTCGGGGGCTTTGTAGAGTAGGTTTTACCCCCTTCTTCTTTGGGGCAGCCCCTCAAATTGTCAAATTCAAACGGGTCAGGCCTGTCGCAACCATCTTTCCCTTTCTCGAGTTGCCACGCAGTATGGGAGGAGGGGGAGAAGCTTAGAATGCAGACCAGACAAAACAACCTACTCTCCCTTGGGAACCAAGGTCATCTCAACAGGTGCTGGCCAGAGACTGGAAGAAATTGCAACAACACCAGAACACTCATCGAATTGGACAATGTGACCTGGGACAATGAGGGAGGGAATGATCTGTCCTAAAATTATACTGAAAACGTGGGAAATAATCAGAGCTGGTTTTGTAGTCATCCGTGCCGAAATGATGTACTTAGTAAAACAGTTCTTGGAGAAAGTTAAAAAGTCTCAGAGTTGCTGAATTGGTTGGGTTCATCGGTCAGAACCATGACATAAATATTGGAAGACTGCTATCATGTTCTCCTTTCATCCTTCTTTTCATTACATTAGACCAGAGGTCTCCAAACTTGGCAACTTGAAGACTAGTGGACTTCAACTCCCAGAATTCTCCAGCCAGCTGGAGCTGAAGTCCACATTCTGGGAGTTGAAGTCCACAAGTCTTAAAATTGCCAAGTTTGGAGACCCCCTGGACTAGACAAACCCAACTCCTGCAACCGTTCTTCGTATGTTTTCGCTGCCAGTCCCCTAATGATCTTGGTTGCTCTTCTCTGCACTCTTTCTAGAGCAGGTGTGTCAAACGTAGTACACAGAATTGTCTGCTACAACGTCTTGCCTGTCAACAACAACTTCAGCTTCAACCACAATAACACACGGGCAAACAACCAATACAAACTCAAGGTAAACCGCTCCAAACTCGATCGCAGAATACAATAGAATAGAATACCTTTATAGTCATTGCATTCCATAGATACAACGAAATTTGAAAGCTACTCCAGCACAGTGTCCCAAATACCACATCACAATCATACTAAAGAGTATTTATTATAATAATAATAATAATAATAATAATAATAATAATAATAATAATAATAAATCTAGTCTAAAGTCTATCTAAAACATAGTAAATTAGAGATTTTAAAAATGCCACTTTATATATAGGACTAGATCACAAATGCACTATTTGATTCAAGACAATTATTGCCTTGGAAAAGAAACTGTTTCTCAGTCTACTAGTCCTCAGTTTAAGACACCTATAACGCCTCCCTGATGGTAACAGTTCGAAATATGAATGACCAGGATGAGAACAGGTCTATAGAGATTTTTAGTGCTCTAGAGAGGAGTCTGGCCTTCGCAATCTCTTCTAAAGAAGAAAGAGAACCACCGATGGTTTTTTTTTGTGCTGTGTTTGTAACTCTCTGGAGCATCTTTGTATGACTTCATGAAAGTGTGACTTCAGCCACAGAGTGGTCAACGCCTGGAAGGCCGTACCCGACTCCGTGGTTACGGCCTCAACCTCTCACAGCTTCAACCTCAAACTGTCTACCGTGGACCTCACCCCGCTCCTAAGAGGTCCTGAAAGGGGACGTGGATAAGCGCACCCGCGTGCCTACCGTCCCCGTCTTCCTGTCCCCATTTATCTCTATTTACTACCTTTGTTCTTGTTTTATGTTCCTACCTATACCAGGGGTGGGATGCTACTGGTTCAGCCCGGTTCAATAGAACCGGTAGCTCTGAAGAGCAGCTGACAATGAAGCGGTATTGTCGGTTCGTCTGTTTGGTCCACCCGCCCACCCAGGCTCTAGGCTGTCCTTTTAGCGCCTGCTTTTTCCTCCTCGGCTGCTCTGCGCGGCACAGCTGGAGCAGGTGAAACGCTTGCCTGACCCGGCATTTGGCATACATGCGCGCAAAACAAAATGGTTGTGATGCTGGTAGGATCCCACCCCTGACCTATGCTTCTTATCTTATACACGGTTTGACAAACAAACAAAATTAAAACATCAAAAATAAATGAACTCAAGGCCTGCGGGCTGGATTTGGGCCGCAGAGGTGCTTAGATCCAGCCTGCGGGGCCGTGCTTGGAAACAGACAAGGACCAGCCCATGGCGCCTCTGTCAGTGAAAACAGAGCTCGGGGCGACTCCACTAGTGTGACCATCTTTAGCGGATTTTCGCTCTCAAGAGAGCTTCGCCCCTCCGCTAATTTAGGATAAAAATGGGGGACTGTTTTAAGATTAGCTCTGGCTGGGAATGGAAACAATTCCCAGCGTCGCAATAAAACAGGTTTTGCTCTTAAAACAGGTTTGGGATTAATTATGTTTGACGAAGCCTGAGTCAGAACAGGTTCGCCATCAGGGTTCTTAGAGCCTCAACACCTTTTTTTTTCTTCTTTTTTTTTAAACATCTCTGTTGCTTTCCTCTCCAGTCTTTCTAGGATCTCATTAAAACAAGCGCGCTTCAACGAAAGGCCGGGCCAAACCGAAAGCGCCTTCAACATGTCTCACCACCGCTATTCTTCTTCTTTCGACACCTTCTTTTTCTCGCACACCTCCCCGGTCCAAAAAGATCTCTCACTCACCTTTGGGCAAAGAATTTCGGTCTGCTGGATCATGATGAGGGCCGATGCAATCAGAGCCCCCTGACGCACGTAGTTGACAGGATCGTTAGTCATCGGTTCCAACAAATTAATTGCTTCCTATTGGGGGGTGGGGAGAGAGAGAGAGGAAAAAAAAAGGAGAAGAATATAAACTTTATTTGCCTTTCAAGCTCCAGGCTTTCATCAGGATGATCCGATTAGGGTCTTCAATGAGGGCATGGTAGGGAGCGGCTGATGAGAAGGACGCCAAAAAGGGCACTAGCGCGATAGGCGCTCCGAAGATCAAACGTTTTAATTTCTTCTGGGGGGGGGGAAAAAATGCCAAGGCTGGAAGGAGGGGGAAGCAAGCAATTTGTTTCAGGTGAGAAAAAAGCTTATTTTATTTATTTATTTTTAATGCTGCTGGTCTCAAGCTTACTTCTAAGAAACGTCCTCTGTTACCTGTCCTCGCGCTTTCCATGAAGGGTCCCCTTAATGAAACCTTTAAAGAAGGGTAGAGATGGATGGTTTGGTCCAGTGGGGAATGCACCAGGTTAGAAACCAGGAGATGGCGAGTTCTAGTCCTGCCTTAGGCCAGAAAGCTAGTTGGGTAACTTTGAGCCAATCGCCAGGAGATTAGAAGTTTTAGTCCCACCTTAGGCAGGAAACCTGGCTGGGTGACTTTGGGCCAATCACCAAGAGACTGTGAGTTCTAGTCCTGCCTTAGGCATGAAAGCCGGCTGGGTGACTTTGGGCCAATCACCAGGAGACTGGAAGTTCTGGTCCCATTTTAAGCATGAAAGCTGGCTGGGTGGCTTTGGGCCAATCACCAGGAGACAGTGAGTTCTAGTCCCGCCTTAGACAGGAAAGCCAGCTGGGTGACTTTGGGCCAATCACCAGGAGACTGTGAGTTCTAGTCCCACCTTAGGA